TCTGTTTTCCCACTGGAGTCAATGGAGAAATTTAGATTGATTGCAATGGGTGTAGAATAAGGTCTACAGGGTTCAGCACATGGCTGGACCAAACATGACATTCAGGCTAGGGACAGAAGTTACACAGAAACCGGGTTAAGTGATCAGAAACTGATTTACACCTGTAACAGAACAGATGTTCAGTGCACATAAACCAGTTTCAAAATAGCTGAAACTGGTTTAAGTTAAAACTTGTGGAATGCAGTATCAGACTTAACTGATTTGGGTCAAACTGATTTATGAAACTTCTGTCCCAGACCCCTTCCTGATTCAAGTTAAATCACAGCCCTCAAGCATCCCAGCATGCTTTCCAGCCCTGGACTGGGCTTCCTGCTGCAGAGAGCAGGACTGGCCCTGCCCCTCTGTCCCTAGCCGCAGCAGTGAGACCTGGCTGACAAGCAGGTATGCGGAGCAAGCCTCGCTGGGGATGCAACCTAGTCTACAGGAGAGGACTGTCCCCCTCCAGACAAACTCAAGCTAGGGTCTGGGGCCAGGGATGGGGGGGTTTAAACACCCCTTCCCCTGCTCAAACTTACCGCTGGCTGCAACTGTGGACTACAAATCCCAGAGGCACCTGGAAGAGGAAGTGATGACCAGCTCTGCAGAGTCCTGCTGTTGTGATTGTAGACTGCAATTCCCAAAGACCTCGGAGGCAGCAGGAAGAGGAAGTGAGCATACTGCCAGAGAGCTGTGCTCTAGCACACCCCGGCTTCTGGCCCGAGCCACTGCAGGCATGTGGCTTCAGGTCCTGAATCAAAGGTAAATGTCTGTTCACTTCTGTTTCAATTTAATTGGTGCAGCTTAGACTAACCTGCAAAGAGTAAACTGATTTACCCTTGGGATTTTTGACTGTCTGTACCTAGCCTCAGAGAATTTAAGAGTGCTTAGCATCTCCCATGATATTAAGATAACACCTAACATCTTTGGTCCTTTGGAACTGAATATTATTATTGTATGAAAGACACGACATATTTAAGCCGTATGTTGCACCTTGATAGTGACAGCATCCAAATAGCAATGTAGGAGAGACCACCCCCTTCCCCACAAACTAAATCTGTGAGCAGTCACCATTTTGTAGAATGTTTTAGCTAGAGGGCCTAGATAAGGACTTTTTAAAATGGGAATGAGGAATAAAAAGGGTCCAATTCATAATCCTGCCAATTGAGCAGAGTGTTTCTTCTTGATTTTCAAATGTTAGGCATGTTTGTATGTTTTTCCTCATTCAAATAACAGCTCTGTTGAATGCATTGGTATAAAATAGCAGAAACTGGTCAGTTTTGGCAAGCAGACAGCTGCCACAGAAGACTTCCTGCCTGGCCCTGTAAAAGCCGCCTGTGTGCCAAGCTTGCGCAAGAAGTTGAGGCTAGATGCTTACACAAACACCGCAGTCATCAGATGAACCTTAGTCCTGGAGCCTGCACATCATTTTCAGTGTTTATGGGGCTGTTCCTAGACCGCTGTCCTGCCTTTTCCCATTTTTGCATCCACTGCCCTGCTCTGTATTTTATCCAGCAGCAGCCTAGCTCTCTCCCTCTCCATTCTCCTGCCTCAGTGAGCCTTGATATCACTGCTCTCTTTCTGACTGTGTCTCCCTTTGCTAGATTTTAAGACCCTCCCCCATTTAATATACATTAAAATGCTTGGCTCTTTTCCTTTATCATCCAGTGTGAGAGTGATTTTTAACTTTAAAGAGTTGCTTTTGGTGATTTTTCTGTAATATTCATTATTTTCCTTTCTTCTCATAACTCCAAAAAAGCATCACATCATCACATCAATCTGCTCACTGCACAGGCTAAAGGTTATTCCTTTCCTTTCCTATCTCCTCCCTCCGAACTCTTGAAACAAAGCATTACCATAGCAACGGCCACTGCTGCTCCCTAGATAAGGCGTGCAGAAGCACAGAGCAGCAACAGCAGAGGAGAAAGTTCCTGCTCCAGTGAGCCCTGACTTCATATCACACCCATCCCAGATCCTTTCAGCTGGTGGTAAGTAGTTTGGCCATACCTTTTGCTTTTCCTTGCATAACCCCCTTCTTAACTTCACTCATCAGGATCAAGATAGGTGCAATCCTTTGATATTTTTTTATCTGCACTTAAGTAATCTGTGTTCTCTATACCTATGCTGGGCTAGCAGTAAAGTTCAGAATCTAGTTACTCTGCAGGATGGATTTTCGAGCAGAGGAAATATATGATGCCATATGGTAAAAGTTGGAGCTAGACTGTGCTGCAAAATTGGAAGGTTGGAGCAGAGCGGGTTGCTTTAGAGACAAATGTTTCAATTACTTTTAACTGCAAGATTATTTCATGAACAAGTTGTGCATATTGACAGAATAAGAAATACGATTAGAACTTTATCCAGCCAAAAAAGAAATGATATGCACGGGATATGTTTTCCCTCTGGGGGACTTAATGCGGCAAGTTTTTACATTTTTCCTCCTCCTGAAGTACAACTTTGTTGTCAGAATCAAAGACAAATTTATTCCACATTTGATTCATGGAACCATGAGCTTTGGATCAGGCCCTCTATATTAACAGTAGCTAAGCTTTGCAGTCAGCGACAGTCTTCTCATAGGCTTCAATGGATTGTGGATCAGATCTGTAAAAGACGCTGTACTTTATTGGAGGGTGCAAAATAGACATGTGGGTCAGCGGAAGACAGGGAGCTGTTAACTGGAGTTTTGGGTGAACAATGAATACAAGGGCAAGAATGTAAATACATATAGTATTGTGTTTCATACAGCTGATATATCTCAAGGCCACTTTATAAAAAAAATCAGACTACTTTGATGGCGTTGTTTGGAAATAACAGCTCTGTGCTAAAATAAAAGAATTGCAGGAGAAACTTTAGACAGTATTATCAGGGCTTGACTCAGAGGAAGTTACTCTTAGAAGGTGGCTTTTAAACTACATTGATCAAATTCCCAGTGAAGAATTTCATTCTGAGAATTCATTTTAAAAAATATCCTATCTTCTGGTGCATGGTGTGATTCCCTACACTAGAAAACATTTTGCACATGTATCGTGATTCAAGAAACTAACAATGGATTTAATTTTTGCAGATAGTAGATAATCAAGGTATATAAGAAAAAGCCTGCTCTTTCACAGATATGGCTTTTGATTAGATGGGAATCGATCATCTGGGGCAAGATTTGCATTACCTTGCCCTTGGAATAGTCATTCTCAGCTCTGCCAAGCATGGGCAACTGGTGCCTTTTGAGCCACAGGGGACACATGCCCCTCCAGTGACCAGTCAGTGACCGAGATGGGGGGTCCACCTGCGGCCAATCTTACTCACTAAAAAGTGGCCACAGGACTTCTGGAAATGGCTGTGGCTGCTTCTGCTGGTGGCCCAGTTCCCCGGCTGGCACTCATGCACCACCTGGGAACGTGGCCGCTTCACTTGGCGCTCTGCTCCCCAGCCGGTGCTCGCAGGGGCAGCACCAGCACTCCCGCTTGCCCATCACCTAAGCTGCGAGCATGGCCATCAGGGGGTGCACCAGTGCTCTCAGGGGGTGTACCCCTGTTGACCCCCTATGCGTCGCCACTGCTGCCAAGTGAGTCCAAAGTGGCCGTAAAACACTATATTACACTGGAATGGTAGCGTTTTGGCAGAGGTGTAAATGATTATACAAGGTACAAGAAAAATGGGCCGATGGCTCTGTACCCTACCTTGCTCCACCTATCACTTTAGATGGGGGAGACCACAGGCCAACAGACAGATGCATTCCTTCCCAAGTAGGTGTGCAGAAGGCAGGGGACAAGCAGGGATTGAGAGTCCGTCCACTTTGCTAGTTTCTGTGGTGGCCAGCAAACCAGGGCCAACAGAGAGAGGGAAAACACTAAAAGCAAATCTGGAGCAGTTTACTGTCTCCTTCTTATAGGGTTAGAATGTAGTTGTAGCTGTGATGGTCTGGGAAATATGTGAGAAGCAAGGGGTTCTTTGTAATATCTTTTATTAGACCAACTGTATGGTTGGAAGAGATGTTAGAGAAAGTTGAAGCAAAAAGAAAGGACCAGGCTGTGACTCTCAGGAGTCCTGGTCTGATTCATGTCCTGCCCCTGGGGGCAGTCAAACTAAGTGCTGCCCTTTATTCTGGCTAGATTGTAGGGTTTCAGTCTAACCTTTGGCTTGTTGGTACACAGGGCAGCAGGCTATAAAATATTCATTGTTCCCATTTACAGCTTTGTAGTACGTCAACAGTAGACAGAAAGGAATTGCCAGTTCACAGACACACAAAAACCTGCCTTCTCAAAATTCAGATTTGATTCTTGAAATAAAGCCCTGCCCGGTAGTCCTTGCTCACACAAATAGTTCCTATTGAAATGAATGCCTGTGAGGATTTTTTTCAGTGGCTTCAGTGAAAGTAGGATTCATCCTAAAGTGACTACACATAAAAAGGTGAGGTTTTTATCTCTTCCATCTTCCTTTGCTTTTCTTGTTAAAAAAGGGAAAAAACAAACAGGGAACTAACCTTGTTTAACAAAGCTTCTCCATAAGCATCCCCACTCCTTCCCCCTAATATAATTAAAACTGGATGAAAAATATATTGGGTAATTACAGAATAGCCTTTTCCCTTAAAAACACTGGGCAAAAGTTCAGATTAATTATTGGCAAATTATATATATTAATTAAGTGTACTGAGTCCAGAGAAAGCGTAAGTACTTCTGTCAAAATTGTTTCTATGGTAATATGTTATCGGCAGAATAAATATTCATATTAAATTTGAATTACATATCACCATATAACAAAAGAATATTATCAAAAAGCTGTTGTTTATGCACTATCCAAGACAAGGTTTCAAAGGTCTCCAGTGATTACTCACGTGTAAAACACTGGAGTGTCTCTCTAATGCTTCTTAGTAACTACACTGCTTATGGGAACAGAGCATCTCTCAGGTGAATAAATGTCCAAATGCTTATGTAGAGGGCCACATTTTATTGAAGCATTAAGATGCATGACTTAAACTAAAGCTTGCACAGTATAGTGTGCATGGCAATGCATACCAAATCACTCTCCAGATGTGGTAGGGTCTATTGTCTTCTAAATATACAATTAGTTTCTGTTAACACTAATGGGCAGTACAGCTATGGATTAAATTCTAACGTCATATAAATAAGAATGGACCTGTTGGTGTGTCACTGCCAACTAGACCCTCAGGCCCAGCTAGGCACCCTAAAGATGCCTAGTTCCACTAACTTAATTGGAAGGTACATGCCTTTGTGGATCCTGGCTGTTATTACTTCTAAGACTTTTTTAATCTTCTTGTGGCTATGATAAATAAAAAGTCTTGGTCAGCTTTAAGCACGTATAACTTAAGGGCTTGACCTGCAAAGATGGATCTGTGCTACTTGAGCATAAAGTAGCAATATTCAGCACGCACATTGGCCCCTTGCATGACTGGCTCTGTGTACAAACTTGCAGTTTGCATGACTTTTCAGGGAACTGGGCTAGGAAATAGGGCACATGGAATTTTTCAGAGCTTTCTTTGAAAGGCTTTAACTGACCTAGGTATTTTTGTTTTGTAAATTAACTTCTGTTGCAATGTATTTGTCTCAGTTATTTATTGGATGTACATTTTTTGCTATCTTTATACAGCAACATTTACAAAAGTCAAGATGTGCTAATATCAGAACCAAAATGCCCAAACCTCAGGTGTCATTTAGGGGTTCTAAATCCACTGCCATCCTCATCTCAGAATCTAAATGTAGAGAGCCCTATTTATTTGTTTCATTCTCAAATACAGTGCACTGCTAAGGGTGATTTTTCTTATAAAAATGTATACCCAAAAGATGCAAATTATATGTGGTCTCCTGAGATTTCTATCATTCCGGACAAATATCCCTGAGAACAGCAATGCTGAATCTGACCCTAAGGCTCCACCTGGATATGTAAAGCTAAAGCCTGCCTTATCTCAAATCTGTATAAGAAAAGACTTTCTTTGACAGTCTCTGTGTAAAACACATTTATATTTAATTGAAAACTCAACTAGACTTCCTTCAAGTGACTATTTCACTCAAAATGTTAATTTCATCAGTAAAAGTAACACGTAGATGAACTCTGAACACAACATTATTGCAGGATTTTTGCATGTTGGCCACAGTGCTATAATAGCAAACTTAATGATAGAGGATAAAACATTCCTGATGTTTTGCAGCAGCATCCCCAACTTCTGCAAACCTCTCATTTGGGTTTACAATGACTCAAAGTGAGCTGATCCCCTCCTGACAGGGGCCAGGTGACTTACTCTATTCAGAGTAACTGGCTTTTCACTCTACCTTACTACTTCTCCCTCTTCCCTTTCTATAAGAAGACTCATTTACGTTTTTTGCTATACATTATTTACAAACAAAAAACTCCCTTCAAAACTGGAACTTGTAAGCCAGCTACAGAAAGCCCCTGTGGGGACCATCAATCCCTGCCTTTTTTCAGCCCAAAAAGAGAATCCAGATAATTCTTTCAACTGCATGTCTCTAAGGGAGGGTTGCAAAAACTAGCAATCCAGCTCAAAAGCATCAATCTAAATGACTGTTGAATCCTAATTCTGATAGAAAATCTGTATCCATTCAGTGACTGCTTGATTTACAACTTCAATGACCATTACAGATACTCAAAGGATGAATTTGGGGCTCTTACATCAATGCACATGGCACTGGGCAAAGAACCCTTAGTCCATCCTGTAAAAAAGTAATTTCCTGATACAGAGACTGTTTAGCAGGCTACAGCTTGAAGTCCGTGAAATCCAGCTGAAAACTATGCTCATATTCGAGCAAACAAATGCATATAATGCTAATTTGAAAGAAGCTCTTAATGATTTGTAAGAGTCGCCAAACTTTTTCCCCATTCAGAATTTGTAAGTGTTATTCAAAAATTCACTATCTGGATAGTGGTAACTGATTTGTGAAAGCATTGCCAAAATTCATGCAATATGTCCAGACAAATTCTGCATAACTTTCCCTTCTGAACAATGAATCCCACTGAGGTGTTCTTGTGATGTAACAAAGCACTTCTCAGAAAATCCAGGTCACATAGGAAGAACAGGAAATCAGTGACTGACTCTGACAGCTTTATAACCACTACAAAATATCTTGTAAGCTTTGCTTCCTTTATGACGTTTATAGTTGTAATGGGTTGTCCTAGGATACATGAATCATCAGCTCCATATTTATTGCAGAGCAAAAATAGGATACCTGATCTCCATTATTTAAAAAATCTTAAAGATGCTGAGCACTCAATAACACAAAAAGCAGTCAGGAGAGAAGGATTATTAGGGCCTTAATTTTAAACTTTTTTTTTTTGGAAACTCTCAGCTTACACTAGACAATTACTTCTTAGCTCTGCACATATGCTTACTTTGACATTTCTGTGTAATGTATATGCAAAATTGGATTTTGTTTTAGGTTATAACTCAAATCGGTATCAGTTATCTGAATTCTTAAAGGCAATTCCTTTCAGTGAATGTTATTGCCATAAGAAACAAAAATGCTTTATCTCCAGCTGTTTTGGTACCAAAGCTGTTCAAAATAAAGTCTAATTTTTCAGGCTGCTCATAATCCAAAATGGCATTGAATGTTTTCACTCAAAACTTTCCTAACAAGTTCACCTTCAGTAAAGAACAAACCTAGAAGCATTCATCTGGAAAGTAGAAAGTGCTGGCAAGTTATAAGTAACTTCGACAGACAGCTGGAACGGAAACACCAAGGCCAAGTTACCTACAAGAGTTATTGCTTCTCCCACTATAATAATATTTGGTTAACTGCTAAGGTACTCTCTCAAAAAACAAATGGCACATAAGAAGAAAGAACAGCTTCTCATTAAAATTACAAAATATCTTTTCAAGATTTCCCAGCAATGTCATTTAGTATCCCAAGAAAACAGAGTTGTGTTTTAGCTACAACTTTTCCTCGTTGTTTTTTTTTTCTCTGAGGCCACAAATGTCACTTATTTATTTACACATTCAATAAATAAGGCAGTCATATCATGCTTGCAGGTATTCAAAGATTTTTTTTTGATCAAAGGTATTACTTAGTTGAAGATAGGCTGAACTTTGTTCTTTTCATTAAAGGTAGGTGACGTTTGTAGACACGTGTCTATTGAGTAAACAGGACAGTGTTTACAGTGGAAATCTGAGGCCACAGCATGACATTTAAGCATTTGTGCAATTGCATAATATAAGTATTGAAAGAATGAAAACTACTCACATGCTTAAAGTTAAGTAAATGCTTGGAGGAATTGTGGCCCATATCCTTTCTAGTTGTATCCATGTTGCTTCATTGACTCAGTGAAGAACAACTTGCCCCTACTGAAGTTCTATCCCAAAATGTGATCATGGCCACTCTCCTTTTTATCCATTATTTACATGGCTAGGTCTTTGTTTCTCAAAGTTTTCATACATGTATTCGTAGTCACAAACAAGGCAGAGTATTTGGGCCTGGTTGAAAACATTCACTGCTCACCATTCATCATTCAGTAATTTTCAATTTTAAAAGTTTCATTTATCTCTTAATCCATCAGCAGAAGTGATGCTATGCAATGGTGACTAGCCAATCACTCCACAAGGAAAACTGGGGAACATTTTCCAGAAGAATAAAGTAAATGCACAATTTTAGCTCCTCATTGGCTTTTATCAGTCATCTTTTCCCCCTCCTCTGCTGTCATGTGGTTCTTTTTTCCTCATCTCTCCCATTAGCCTAATCTCATGCCTTTTCTGCTTCCCAATTCTATTTCTTTGTTCACAAGAAATAAGGTCTACTTTATTTCACTGATGTGGGGAGAAAAGATTCCTAACAGAAAAGTAGCCCACTGAAACCAATGATATGCTTGCTATCTATGTTTGTGAAAAGACAGAAATTGATTTCCTTTAAACTTGTAGGTATGTCTTTAGTTATTCTGGTATGCATCTGCCAAGCAAACCAAACAACTTGTACAGGATTATGGTTCAGAACCATTTCAAACGATAGTTAATTTAACTTTGTAATTTTCAAAGTTAAAACCCAAAACTTCAGTGCATTGAAGCCCATGGCAGTCAGGCACTTTCATACTTTTGAGGTTCTAGGTGTGCCTGCATATGGCAAAGTGATGAAATCCCTCAGCTGCAATTTATTTTAAGATCTGAGGGAATTTATAATCCTGCAAGACCCACACTTGGGAAGGTGATTAAATAGCTTTGAAGAACTGGGCCTAAACCATTAAGAAGAAATCATTAGACATTACAAATGTATCTCGTAACAAACATGGAAGGCTGGAACCTATTAGGTGCCTAAGGTGAATCATATGCCACCCAATTCAAGTCCCTAAAAAAGTTAATGCAAAAGGTGGGTGGGCCATGTTCCTGCTTGCTGCTTTTTGTAACTTAGGATCATGCTGGGCCCCCCTCCCAGCTCGGTGACTGGTGCCTCCAGGGTTGCGGGGGGCACCCGGGGTCCCCCTGAGGCTGACTGCTGAGCCGGGGGGCACCCTGGCATGCTCCCTGGCAGACCCGCAAGTACCTCTGGTCCACTTCCAGGTTTGCTGCCAAGCACGTGGAGGGCCTCCCTGCATTCCTGTGGGAAGCTCCATTTGCCCCAATATAATATCACAACAATCAGGAGCCATGCTGGTACCTCAAGGTACGTAGAAAAAACTTATAAAGCTGTGCCTATGTCCAAACCACTGATTCCCCGAACCAGCATCAAATCTTTAAATTCAGATTCAGCCAAATTGAATCAGGGACAGTGATCTGAATCAGCAAATTAAATCACTGTCCCCAATTTGGGCTGAATCCAAATTGAATAGGGCCCGCTTTGCTCACCCTAATGCCAACCTCCAAAATATGGGGGCAAAGCTGTTCTGAAGTTGCCCCTACTGTCTCTCTTGATCACATAAGAGGTAGAGATGGAGGACACTGGTGGAGCTGAGGTGGAAGGTACCCTCAGGGCAGCTTCACTGCTCATTTCTGGGTTTGGCATGAGCAGAAAGAGGATCTGCCAGGAGGTGGCCAGGATCTGCTTTTCAGTGACCCTCTCAAGGACCCCACAGAAGTGATATAAGCATACCCTTAATCTAAATAATACTCTGTAGTTTAGAACTTGATTATAGATTAAAATTTACACCTGTAGAGATTTAAACCATCATGGATAAAACTCAAATGCAGACTGAAAATCTGAGTATTTTTTTCCAAAACACCCAGGACACTTAAGAGGCCTGAGACTTGAGATCCTCCCTGTTATTTTTAATTTTCTTTGCTACAGCTGGGCTGCTCCCAGTACCTGAGCTATCTTGTTTGACATCCCACAGCTTCAGCTTATTAAGCTTCTCTGAAAATCTTTACCATTCATCTCTTTTAAAGTAACTTCTTAATCTGAGATACCATGAAGCAGCCTGTGAGATTTGTTGCAGCTTTCTACAACTGAGCTTAGCAAGAGGCAAACCTCAAAAAGCTGAAGTGTCAATTGCAGTCACAAATCACTAGCAGCAATACAACCTTTTGAAAGATCTCTTCAGATATATCACAGGAGGCCCTGAAGAAGTGTGAAATTTGAATGAGTCACATAGACCACTATGTAGAATTTCCTGTTTCTATTTCTGTCCCATCAAAATTTCATGAAACACTGTTGATTTTAAAATCTCATTTCTTTCTGGGTTTTTTTTACTGCAACAAACACTACTAAAGATGACAAAAATGAAAAAGATCAAAAAAATTTTCAATGAGTTTAGTTGTTGAGTTAATTTTGTATATGATCAGTTTCAGTGTCATCTCTCTATGGTCAATTTCCTCCGATTGCTTGGGTCTCTCAAGTCAACATGAGTGGCAAAATCATTTATAAAAATAGAAGAAAACCCCATACATTTCACATGTTTATAGGGCATTCCCTGCGAGTGCTCTGATGTTTGCTAGGCTTCCACATAAATACTTTATAGCAGTAAAAACAACAGTGACAGATGCACTCTGGGCATTTAACATATTTACTGGATTTCCAGGTGACTGTGTCCTTCAGAAAGTTTCCTTCAAAACCAGTGATTACCAACCCTCCAACTGGTTTGCTCCTATCTTGTCTTTGAGATCTTGCTTTAGGGTCTTTCAGTGCAGCAGTCATCAAAGATGGGGAAATTGTTCACTTCACAAATATTTTGAAAGCAGTCAGGCAGGGCAAAATAAGTCTGAAAACAGGAATTTTGTGAAATCTGGAAACAATACATGAATATATATAATGATAAATATAAATAAATCTATTTTATGCCATGCTTCTTTTTGCTGGTGTAGCTAGAAGAGAAAACCTTTTCAATGACGTCAACAGAATATGTGCAGCCACTTGATATCCCAGAAGACAGACTGGACAAGCGAGACTCGCACTGTAATCATTTAGGTAAGTGTTATTAGATGACGTCATTGCCTGTAATTAGAGAGGTTTCTCCTTTACATCACTAAACACTGTCATTCCCTTCTTTCCCCCCAAGCAGTACAAGTGAGCCCTCTTGAAACCCGATAGATTATGCCTTCTGGTGTCACATCTGATGCCATATGGACAGGCAAAGAGGTTTTTTTCCTGCATCTGCATATTAGCTGGTGCTGCATTTCTTCTTAATTTAAAGGGGAGAGACTCACTTATTTTTCTCTCTGATGAAAAACATGTAGATATTTTAGAGTTTAAACAATAATAAGTTACAGTATATTTGAGCTTTCCCCAAATAACATTTATTCTTTACCATAGCAAGTTCAGTAAAAGATTACTACTACATGCAAGTTCAGTAAAAGGTTTCAAAATCTCCTTTTGGTCTCTATTGGGAAAGAATTTTAAGTGCTGTTTTACCTTCATTTACTAATGTGCTACCTTTCTAGAGATGGCTTTTTTACATAGTGTTGCCTTGAGCATACCAGAGGCATCTTTGCTCAGACACACTTCTAAATATGAGGCTTTATGATTTTGATAAAAGATCCTTTTGTATATTCATGTTCCTCATCTCTGCTTCAAATGTTATGTTTTTACCAGCCTTACAAAATTGCCGGGAAGATTTACTAATCCAGCTTACTGTAACATCCATATTTATCAAATATTATATAAAGTATCATTTGAAACACAAATATTAATTTATTTGACAGTTACCTCAGGCATGTTGCATAAACCTGTTTTACTCAGCATATATACATATGCTGAAACAAGAACCAATTGTGTCATAAGGCCAAGGACTCTGTGTGTGTGTGTGTGTGTGTGTGTGTGTGCGTGTGTGTGTGTGTGTCCTCGGACTTACGACACAACTGGTTCTTGAAAACTGTGTCTTAAGTCGAAAGGTTGTAGCTCGGAACAAATTTTCTCACAAGAAACAATGTTATAAATGGGGGATTGGTTCCTGAACCAAGGCCCAATACCCTATTTTCACCAAAAATACCCCAAAATTTTATACTTGATCAATTATAGATGAGTAATATAGCTACATTAATGTATTTATATTGTAAATAGCAATCGTATTGATTTGGAAGGACTTCTTTGAGGTGATTTTGCTGGACTTTTTGAAGGGCTCTTGGCTGGAGTCTTCTCCATAGTCTCGGCTGCAGGTTTTTCTGGAGTCTTGTCTGCTTTCTTAAAGAAAGTGTCCAAGGAAGTTTGGACAGATGTTCTCCAGGGAGATGGGTGACACAGCAAACTTGTTCACTGGCATGGCATCATAATGGATCATGTGTTGTAAAGTTGAAACTTACATCATAAAGTTGAAACAGGGTGTCAATTTATAAACATAAGTGCAAAACGTAAGTCAAAGACTGCCAGTATACACACGCACACATGCACACATGCGCACAAACATTAGTTCTGATTCTGCTTCCAGAACTTACAATTCACAGCCAAGTTCAGGGACTTATTTTGATAGGTGCTGTATTAACACATCTAAAAAAACCTGCTCTCTCCTCTGCAGAACTTAGTGTTTAAATTAAATAAGGACAAAGCAGGTTAATGGGATTATCCTCATTATCCCAACAGGTGGGAAACTGAGGCATATAGCAATTAAGCAACAGACCCAACTGACCCAAGCTCACACAGCAGTTTGTGACAGACCTTGCAGCCACATCCAGATCTTCCAGTACCTTACTTATGAGATCATCCTTCTTGTCCATAGACAACAGACTTATAAGAGCGGAAAATAGTGTAAGTGAGATCAGAAATCCAGCCCAAATGAAAATGCCAACTGATGAATCCCATCAGAGCCAAGTTTAAAACAGAAGCCCTGATTTGTAAGATATTATTAGAGGTGAGTCAGCCTCAAAAGGTTTGATCTGTCAGCTTGCATAAGCACCCAGAATGGTGAAGAATTATAAAAAGTACACTGACATTCTCTGCAACTTTTGAGTCAAGTGTGGCTTTCAGTAGGTGCAAATCCAAAGTATTCTCATCACAGCCAACAAAAAGTGGGTGTGCAAAAATATGGCCAGCTATTTAGTTATATAAACTGTGTCTCAATGACCCTTATCTGCATAATCCTTGCTGTTCATTATTTTTCATCAGCTCTGTATCTTTTGTTTTTCATGCAGATGATCTTTCAGAACAGCTTATTAAAAGTTGTGACCTGAACAAGAAACCAAGAAAGGGTAAAGTCATCCAGGCTTCCCAGAACAATGATTTGGAGCAGAAAAAGCCAAGGAGGAAAGACACACCTGCATTACACACCCCACCACCTATCCCAGGTGATAGATACCACTTTCAGTTTCCAAACTAAATGAAGCTTAGGGTGCATCTACACATGACGCTACTTTGCCGTAGTGACGCACTACAGTGACGTAGCATCCACGGGTGTCTACAAGTGACAAGCAGCTCCTCTGCTGTAGCGGCGCGCTCCCCCATTATAGTGCACCACTACAGTGAAGTGGCTGCTAAAAATAACTGTGTGCCATGGCCATGTGTACGGCACAGCATGGGCAGTTACTGCACTGTGCTTTAGTACCTCCAAAAGGAAGTACTAAAGCACGGCCCAGTAATAACATCGCTGTAAGGCAGTGTGTAGACGCGCCCTTAGTTTTATTGAAATCTGACCACCTGGTCCACTTTGGTTTATCTGGACTTGAATAGAAAGCACACTGCTGCCCTAGATCTTTCTTCCCCTCTGTGGGCACATGTGGAAGCCTGGGCAAACAAGGAAGGTACGATTTTTCAAAGCCAGTCATCACTGGCTTAACTCTGCTTCAACTGAAATCTCTAGAAGTTTTACCACTGGCTTTGCTGGGATCAGGGTTAGCTCAGTGGTGATACTTTTAAAACCCCTGACCCTAAGCCTTATATTTGCATCACCTCCTTGAAATACGTTGCTTATGTGTGCACTGATTTCTATGAGTTGGAATGTGCACTGGTCCAAGCTGAAAACAAATCAAATTAAACTATCATGTATATCTGTGCCATTTGTAGTCACTCTCAGTGCCATGACTGCTCCCTGTGCAAAAGCTGTGAGAAACTAGCAGTTCCCAGGGTAAGAGGAGTGAGGTGGCTTTTTTTTTTCTCCACAGCATCAGCCTGCCCAAACACAGGTGGCTATGTTAATCCTGGCAGGGCTCAGTCTAGCCAGCGGGTTCCAGGGAAGCCAAAAAGTGCCTAAGTAAAAGAACTCCTTGTGTCTGTGGATTTTGAGGGCTGTGCTGACTTAAGGGAGACAATTTCCCTTGCCATACCTGGAAGGGAGAAGGGAAGAATCAGCAGGGAACTGCAAGTAACACTTCACAGCTTTCCCAGAGTCCCCTGCATGTATGGGTTGTGCCACATCCACCGAGAAACCTAGTTTCTTCTACTAATGAGGACAGTTCTCTTAGGAAAAGGCTGCATTTTAGGAATGTAATACTGTCAGTCCCATTTCCCATGCACCCCTAAATGATGTATTTAGCAAACAACTGCTGGTATATTCCTCTGTGTATTTCTGGCAGATCACAGTAGAGAAAACAAAATGTTAATATTACTAAATTGAATCCAGCGGATATATTCATTAGGCTAAAGATAAGCCTCAAGGCTGTTTGCAAATGTGTCCGGCCTCTGAAAAATGCTGTCTCCTTAGAAGAAAGGGATCCAGAACAAACTTGCTTGGCAGTTTAGACTTTAGACCTGTCGTGTCCATCCCATGAGTAAGATAGGATCACACCAGTTGAAATGTCTGGCATCACTTCTGGGAGGTCACACTTGTTCTGCCTCACATGTCCTTCATGAGATTGCGTAGCTCTCATGAAATAGATCTATGGATCACAGTTTTGCTTTTGAGCTCAAACCAGTGGTACAGCTGGTTTGGCTGTATTACTAACTGTTCTGTCAAGCGTGCTTTGTAAGGCACTATTATATTAAGGAAATTCATACAGTTCCTAACCAGCAACAGCATATTGCACTGTGCTCTCACAGAGCAGGGCTTATCATTAGAGAAGTTTTATGTCAGCATATTCCAGGATAAAGTCACACAGGTGCAAATTTTGTCAATGCATGCAAGGCTGACAAGGCTTAAGTAACTACTACTATTATTATTATTATTATTATTATTCCCTGCAGCCATCCTCTCAGACTTTTCAGACAATTTGCTTCAAAGGTATGAGCTGTCAGACAAACTGCAGAAGGAAAAAGGGACTCCACTCTCTCAGATCACTGATTTAGAACAGAAAAAACCCAGGAGAAAAGATACACCTGCAATACACATCCCACCACTTATAACAGGTAAGAGGGTTAGCATGGGATATTCAAAGGTAAAATAAAAGGCAGCTAGTATAAGAGCACTGTCTGCTTTGTTTAACTTCATGCCTGTTATTTTATGCCCAGCTGGAGTTATTTTTTGTGGTTAATTTTATTGCAACAGCATCCAAAATGTGCTAGATGCTAGGAGAACATGGAGTTCTGTCCCAGACCTGATGAGCTTTCCATTTGAAAGAAACTTAGAAAGGAGAACTCTCTTTAGACTCCCCTCAACTGCAAACAAGGAATGAATTCAGGTTTCAATTTTTCTTTAAAAAGATCAAACTCCAACTTTTCTCCCCAGTTTGACCTGAGCTAATTCACTTAGAATGGAGCTGTAAGTATTTGTTTTGTGTTTGTGCAGCACCTAGTTCAACGGGGTCCTGTTCTCTGACTGGGCCCTTTTAGTACTTGTAATATAAATAGTAAAGGTCTGGCTGGGCATCTTTACACAAGATGTTTATTGCTCAGTTGACTAATTAGCTGCACAGTAAATGTGTCAGTGTCTACACATGTGCCCCTATTAGGTTGGAGTGATCTAATTTACTCCACAGCAGGATAGTACTTGTAAATACATTACTTGCAAATACAGGTATTATCCTGCTGCAGAGTAAAAAACTCTGCAGCAGTGCATGTATAGATGCTAGAGGCGCTGGCTGAGGCACAAGGGAGCTTCAGTGCGGAGACTGCCTGCCAGCTAGCCAGTGCTAAAACACCATTGTGCCCCAGCCAGCTTCTCTGCAGCATGTTTCAGAGAGCAGCCCTGGGCTGGCAGACTGACCCACACTGAGCCCCATGCCAGTCAGGGCTGGATCAACCTGGCTCAGTGCATGAATAAACTGCAGAGCTTATTATTAAAATATACACATTCAAATGGTGTGCCCAGGAGCAATAAACTCCAGAGCAAATAAACTCCGCAGTTTATTCATGTGCCATAATTGCATGTGTAGATGCAGCCACTGAGTGCTAGTGTGAGATCAACAAAGCCACTTCAGATTCACCTAGTAATAAGAACCTGCAGTTTTGTGAGGGAAGACAGAGTGCTTTTTCCTACCTTAAATGTATTCAATCAGTTCTCTGCTCCACACTTACCTGTGTAATGAATGGTGAAAGCTAAAGGCAGGAGGCTGTGTGATTTAATGAATAAAGCACAGAACTGAGAAGGCAGGAACACCTGATTTATCTTTATACAGCATTAAGAAGCAGTAATACCAATAAAACCAATAGCTCTGCTATGGATGTATTAGGTAGCCCTGAGAAAGTCACTTATGCCAAATGTTTCAGACTTAGCTGTCTACAATGAGGATCTTGAGCATGATGCAGTTATCAACTGTGCAGGGACCTCTGGCTTTTAGGGATGGACTTCTCAGTGTGGCCAAGCATGTCAGGAAGTGGATGGCTGGGTGTAGGACTAGGGGAAAAAAGGGGGGGGAGTGTCAAATGATGTTATTCCTCATTGTTTCTCAGGGAATTTTGAAACAATGAGGGATTTCTAAGAGGCTCCAGCAATGCCCCATATACCAATTGCGGAGCCAAAAGACAATTCATGTTGCTGGACGATCCCTCCATATGCTGAAGTGAACCTCCATTTTATACCACTTTTAGGGCTGGTGGTGTGGTATAGAGTAGCTATGGAGACGCCAGTCATCTTGGTGTATGTATGGACCCAGACATCCGATTTTCAACATTTTGAGCCTTAACATCTTTGTTTCTTAATTTCTGGTAGTAAAAATGGGAATGATAATGCTCACCTTCCCAATATCACAAGGGTGTCATGAGCTTTAATTAGTTAATGTTTGCATAGTGCTTTGAAGAGATAAAATACCATAGGAAAGTTAATTATTAGTAGTAGTCAGGGAAGCAATATACCAGCTGCTTCAGATATTAAGGGGTGTGGTGTGTGTGTGTGTGTATGG